GGATAGATTAATAGAAGTTAAATAGTGAATGCCTTGCTTTGTAGTATTTGCAAAAAAAATTCTATTTTAATGCTTTGATTACTAGGGACTAGTAATAAGCTGGTTGGGGGGTGTGATTAGTACTTAAAAGTGCATTCTCATTAAGGTTTTATGTCATCATATTGCATCTAAAGTATCATTAAATTCCATAACTAAAATATGTTTTATATTAACAAGTCTGATAAGATAATATACCTTTAATTCATGGTAAAAGTTCATTCTAAATACAGGTCTATCACATAAATAAAAGGATTGATTGATGAGTTTAAGTATTGAAATTGAAAGGACAAAGAGAGGGCCAAGCTTAGAAAAGAGGTGCTGGTGCAGTCCAAACTCGAACACCGTTCGGTAATTGGATCATATTTAGAGCTATAGATCTTGGATTTAGGTCTACTTTATTTGGATGGAAAGGTAAGACATAGACCTACAACTTTCATGCGAGTCCAAGATTCAATTCTGTCGTTTTCAAGTTCAAATCTTAGCAACAACAAAGAAGTTGGAATCTGTCCTATAGCTCAGACACTATTCGGTTTTTAGTTCATATCTTGAGTTCTAGAAGCCCAAATGAGCTCTGGTTTTTTTTTTTTGTTGGAAAGCTAAGACAACTGCCCACAACTTATATAAATTAAGGGGCTTTAATTCTGATGTTAGAAACAATGTTTTGGCCAGCCAACAATATCAATAACCAACAGCCACCAATGTCAAAAACCAGCCACCAAATTAATGGTTGGTCACCAACTATTTTCTTATTCAACCAATCAATAGTTCTGAATCTTAGCCTATAAAAGGAGGCATCTGTCATGTATTTAGATATTATTTTTCAGATCATAATCATCTTCTTGCTTTCTCTTTTTATATCTTTGTAATGTTCAAGTTTTCTTTCATTTTATATTAATCTCTTATTTATGCTCTTTCATTTTCTTTCCTATACTTAGGTAACTTATATCATGTTTATGTTCTTATATTGTTTATTTATGTTTTTCTTTTTCTTAATGTTTAGCTAAGTTTATTATGTCAATGTGAAAAGGTTCCACTAATGGTGTTAGAATAGGTATAATATAAACTCAACATGGATTTCAATGTTTATATCTAAGATAGTTTGCTATTAACATGTTTTATCTTTTTATCTTACTAATTCTTAATACCTTACTTGTTAAATGGTTAATCTAGATTTATGTTGTATAACACTTGGTACATCAAATGTTTGATCCTTCATAGTCTTCGAGCGACATCGTTATTATGATAGAAATTTAATTTGTTGTTAACATAAGATAGCAACATAAATGCGTGATGATATTTATAAGTATGGTGTTATTCAGATAAGATAATTAATATGATCATGATTTATAATGAGCTAATAACGATAAATCATCCAATTGGAACTTCCTTTGCATATGGTTTCTAGTTGAGTAATAAAAAGAGTTTATATTATATTTATTTGAAATACCATTAGTGAATCCTCTAACCTTGACATCTGTTTTATCATTGTTTAATCCTTACATCAATATCACATCCCAAAACTCTCTTCAACCTTTTTTTTTTTGTTATTATTCTCTTCAAAAAAATTTTTTTATTTGTGATTTGTATAATTCACCTCCCTGTGATTCAACCCCAGTCTTGCCGAGTTATATATTATTTTGACACTCCTGCATTTAGGATAAGACATCAACTCTTTGATCGTATCAATACACAAAAGTCATAAATGTGATTTCTAATTAGTTATTATTTAAAGACACTCACTTTGAATTGAACTATATCTTCTAGTTTTCTATGCATATTCAAACTTTGTCAAACAATTATTTTTTCTTGGTTTTTCATAACCCAAACTTTGATGTTTTTGGTTAATCAAGGACTTGGTTGATGCTTTTGATTTATGGTCCATATTTGCTTTCTTTTCTTGTTTTGTAATGAATAATTATTGTATATTTGATTGAAATATACATATTTATTTCAGGTTTTTTTAAAAAAAAATGTCACATACCATGTTTCTTTTAAAATATAGTATGATTTGAATTGATAAATACAATAAAAACTAAAAAAAATGAAAATAAAAAAAATTAATATAAGAAAGAAAACAATTGCAATAAAAGAAAAATCATGAATGCTTATGAAATGATATAACAAAGATAAAAACTACAAAATATATAAATAAAAATAAACATAAAAAAATTAAGAGTATATGAATTTCTATGCATTAACCCGCAAAGATAATTCTTTAAATAAGTCATCCTAAAAATATATTTAGGAGTGTGATAGATAATATTTTTTAAAATATTTTTTATTTTAAAATGTATTAAAATAATTATTTTATTTTTTACATAAGTATTTTAAAAAAAATTTAAAAAAATTATTTTAAATTTAAAAAAAATAAAAATAAAAATAAAATTTTTCAAAAATATTGTCGAACACAGTGTTAAATGGTCCCTAACAATTACCAGCAAACAAAATCGGGCCTGGTCTCGAAATATCACCCAGAGGATAGGGCGGTTTCATTGGCACTTTTATCTCTCTCTCTCTCTCCCGCCTCCCATCCATAAAGAAAAGAAAAAAACAGACGCGCGCATACTTGCATATATTTTTCTCTAGTCTACCTCCCGTGTCTCTCTTCCCCTCTCCGACCTTGCTTTACAGTCCATCGTCGATTCCTTCTCCTAAACTAACAATCCAAGAAGAGCCAACACATGGACGCTTCGATTCTAGGACACCCGAGTTCTCTCTTCGTCACGCGCCTACGCGCTTCCACCACAGCATCTGCTGTTTCCCTCGCTCACCAGATGCCGTGCCTTCTATTTTCTCCTCCTGGAACGAAACTTGTCTCCTTATCATCCGTTTCTTGCCCTCGCAGGTCGTCTTCCTTTGTAGCTGCTGCAAGTAGTGGCACCTTGATGGCTAATTCTGTAACGCGCTCTCACCCTTATCCACTTTGTTCTTATCCTTTGGAAATTCAATATTTGCTTGAGATTTCGTTACTTTTCTTTTCTTTGGTTTGTTTTTATGGGTAATTAGCTGAGCCCATTGAGATTTAAACGAAGAATTTGGTTCTTTTAATGCTTATTGTGGGAGATAGGAATCAAGTATCAGTGATGCAATGCATCAATTGGGTTGTGAGAAACACCTTGTTTACTTCTATTGATGCGTTAAAGACACCAATTTTACTTGTGGGTGTGTGTTGTCTATTGAGAGGACTTGAATTTTGGAGTGAAAGCCATGTTGAAAGTTGTGTGTTGTTGAGTGTAAGCAATGTCGGTATTAGGGAATTCTTTACCGGAAAGTGTCACGCACTTCGGTACTATGATGGAGAAAGAATTCAATTTGGTAATTTAATTGTACTTTATGTTGTTGGGGTTTTAGTCTGAAGTGGCATAGGTCAGGATTAGTACACGGATCTGGGGTTGGTCTTAACTTCAAAAAATATCAATCAAAAGAATGAGGATTTGTGGCAGATTCAATTTGGTTTTAATGCAATTGAGGTTGTTTCGCACTTTTAAGTGTGATATGAAAGTTATTCTTCTTCGATAGATGATTGTTTTTCTTTGACTTGCTGATGTGCAGCCAAAAAGTGGGGTTTATACAGTTGGTGATTTTATGACTAGGAAAGAGGATTTGCATGTTGTAAAACCTACAACAACTGTAGATGAAGGTATTTGTTAGATTTCTAAATTTTTCCATAGTGTACTACACAGTTTTTTAACACATATATGTGTTGTGTTTTTGCCAACAGCACTTGAGGCTCTTGTGGAACATAGAATTACTGGTTTCCCTGTGATCGATGATGACTGGAAACTGGTAACCCCTCCTTGTCTTTTTGTTTGGTTTGTTAGTCTGGTTATTAATAATGTAGATTCTTTATTTTACTTTTTTGTTTCAAGTGAAAGATAACAATTAACATCCGGTTTCTGGATTCTAAAAATTTTTTGAAGCTATTTGCCATACTTTCTGAAGACAAGTCAAGATATCAGATTATTAATCATCCAAATTGGCTCAGGGTTCCCCAATCTGAGAGTCATGTGCAGTCTTCTCTTCTTAGACAAACAATTCACACGAATGTCTTTTGCTTAAGCTTTTTATTCCCCTCCTAACACCAACCAGTTTAGGATGTTATTATTCAACTGTAAATATCGTTGACCCAAATAATTTTGAAGATGAAGAGTAGTAATGGCATAACCTGCTTTGAAAAATTTAAGCAATCCTTAATCAGTTGGTATGATGAAGAAATTTTCTGGATGCATCAAATAGATACTCGCATCTTTCTAAGCTTTTGCTTTTAATATGGTGGTGCCATTTTATAGATGTGTATGCCTTTTCTTAGACTGGTTCCAATCATCATTTTCTGGGGTTATGATTATAATCTATGGGTGCAGTGTATTTGCAATTTTCTTATGAGCAAACTCAATTAGGATATGGGAATGATTTGAATGTTCTTTGCTATTGTAGGTTGGTCTTGTGTCAGATTATGACTTGCTAGCATTGGACTCCATATCAGGTAATTTAAAATAATCAAGCTAATCTTAGCCTTCATTTTCTTGCTGTTTCAGAAAAGAACAAATCGTTCTGTCCTTCTATGTTCTTGCAATTTCTTTAATCCACAATATAGTTGAAGTTATGAGTAACTGGCGTCAGACCAGATGCTTGATATGAATAAAATTTGTAATTTAACATTTCTCACATCTGGGATTTGTTTCAATGTCTCAACTAGGTGGTGGAAGAACTGAAACTAACATGTTTCCTGAAGTTGACAGCACGTGGAAAGTATGTGATAGCTCTCTCCTTTTTTTAAACACAGACTTGCACACTTTCTATGTGAAGACATGCATTTATTGTTATGCGCCCACCCTTTGACATTTGTTTCCCAATATTGTTTGTATGGAGCTCCATAAACCAGCCTCTTTGCAGTAAGGCTTTCGGAAGGTTATGCTCCTCTGATGGGTGAGAGTTTTGAGAATTTGTTCTTTTAGGTATGAATGGATGGGGCTGGAAAAAAAAAAATTGATCTTTTAAGTTCAAGGCTTTAAACTGAAATTGACTTCAACTGAGCTTGACATACACTTGGCAATCTTTTAGTGCCTTAAACAGTTGAGGGCATTAGTGCGAATAAGGCAACTCATACTGGTAGATAAGGTCCCAAGGGTGCAGGGCATATGGTTGGGTTTTGTAACTGGTTTAGAAGTTGCTCACTTACCTCTAGTGTGTATATTGCTGGGTATCTGACTTCTGAATGCTTTTTATTTCTGCAATCAGAAACAACCTCAGAGATAGCCCAAGTCACTTTTTCTGGTGAATGCCTAGAGCCTAGAGTGTTGACTTGTTCTTTGGGGAAACATGTCTTACTGTCCAAGACCTTGGCCAAAAAAAGTATCAAGGGTGCCTTGAAATGTTTTTGATGACTTGCAGTTAGCTTCATGTTCCTTTCATACATGTGCACGCGCGTGGGTGTGATTGAATGGTTTTTGAGATTCTGATTTGCTTTTCTTCTGTTCTTGGATGCAAATCTGACCATGGCCATAAAAAGTGTCAGGATTGTTTTAAAATGCTTCTGATGACTTGCAGTTAGCTCATGTTCCTTTCATACATGTGTATGTGTGTTGGCCAAAAAAAAAGTGTCGAGTGCCTTAAAATATTTTAGATGACTTGCAGTTGGCTTCATGTTCCTTTCCTACATGTGTATGTGTATTGGCCAAAAAAAAAAGTGTCGAGTGCCTTAAAATGTTTTAGATGACTTGCAGTTGGCTTCATGTTCCTTTTATACATGTGTGTGTGTGTTCAGCCATATCATGTTTCAATGGAAAAGGCATCTGGTCAACAAACTGAACTTCGAGTTCTATAGAGTTTAAATGCTAGAAGCTCCTCTCTTGCTAGTACTTGTCTGTCCTTCACATCTAGTAGAAATTGGATTGTCTTTATGAAATTGCATTATAGAGAAATTGGTTTCAAGAATCATGTGCTCTGAATCTGCAATTACGACCATGTTTCTTGACCTTATCTTAATCATGAAATATGAAGACACAATCTAGACACCTTGAAGTCAGAAAAAGCGGCATGGTTCTGTTTGTTGCAGGCACTCAAGCTGCTTAATAGTTGATAAGATGCTGCATATGATCCAACCATGTACATCTCTGATCCAATATAGTAAATGATGATTGCAGACTTTTAATGAGGTGCAAAGGTTGCTCAGTAAAACCAATGGGAAGGTTGTTGGTGACTTGATGACACCAGCACCAGTCGTTGTTCGCGAAACCACCAATCTTGAGGATGCTGCAAGGTACTATCAGCCTTTCTTTTTCTGCTTTTTTTCTTAATGCCTGTTTGAGATTGTGATATCGGTTGCAGTTCAAAATGTTTTTCGTTTAGAAATACATCAAAATATTGTTTTTTTTTGTTTTTTAAATTATTTTTTAGATCAGCACATCAAAACAATATAAAAATATTAAAAAAATAATAATTTTTAGTAAAAAAATATTAAAATTTAAGAGAACCGTGTTCCCAAATAGTCTCTTAGTTGTTCTTTTTAAATATTTCTTTTGATTTGTTTATGCTTATTCTGAAAAGCTGTGACCTAAAATTAACTTCTGACTCGGTTTATGTAATGCCAGATTATTACTTGAGACAAAATATCGTCGACTTCCAGTTGTTGATGCTGATGGCAAGCTGGTAAGAGATGTCGACTTTTGTATTGATTAATCTCTTGTAATCATGTTTAGTGGTGGTTTAATTGGCCATTTCCCCCACCGTTGAAGGTTGGAATTATCACAAGAGGAAATGTTGTAAGAGCTGCTCTACATATAAAACATGACATTGAAAGGAAAGCATAGTATCCCCGTATTTATTCAAGAAAAAACTGAAGCAGTCGACATGGCAAGCTGGGCCTGGGAATAATCTTGTTAAGCGAGGTGTTTCGAGCTAAGGACAAAAAAAAGGTTGGAAGAGATTAGCTGCTTCATACAACAATTTCGGCTCAAGTTTGTATCGCATCATTTTTCGACTGTTCCCAGTGTAGTACTGGTAGTTATAATTACAAGGATCAGTGACTGTGGGAACCAATAATTCTTGTTGGCCCCTCTGTTCTACCCCATCCATGATGTGAATTATTCCCTTAAACTGAGAGGGACAGAAACTGAAACCAGATAATCAAAATGTTACATGGATATACACTTTACATATATGTTAATGAGTTCATCGTAGGACTGAAGCATGATCATGGAGGCCTATTCAAATTTCTGATATGTTTGAAGCTGATAGCAGGCATTTATTTAATCATCCTTGCAGAACACATTAAATACTGATTGCTGAACCTAATAGTGGAAGAGACTTAACATCGCAAAAAAACTCGGAAGGGCGTATGACTATTACGTGCGAAGTGCTATTATGTGTGCTTTTTCGGTCATTCCAATCCAATTTTGGTGGCCAAATGTGGGTTTTGTTGAAAACCATCTAACATCTATGAGCAGACATCTTCTATTCTAGGAATACCAGGCAGAATGTTTGGATGAAATAAGGAAATGTCTGAAGACAGCAAACCAATCACTTGCGGATTTGGAATCTCTTACCATCTTTTATGTGGTTATTGCTGGACACCTTTTTATGCTTGGAAGTATTTGAAGCTCTTTACAGTGCTTATAACAGCGCATGTCTGTTGCTTCTTTCTTTTTTCTCTTTTTTTTTGGTGGATAATCCATTCATGGCAGGCATGACTCCTTTAAATGCACTGGTGGACCAACCTGAGCTAGTTTTACAACTTAGAAGCACTATTATTTGCCAAAGGATAATGGCTGGTATCATTGAATGTTCAGCAACAACATGAAGAGTTTTAGGATCATGGTAGCATATTAAAATTATTAAAATATATATATAAAAAAAATATCAATTTCATATTTTCAAAACAATTAAAAATACTTAGAAAAATCACCTATGAGCCATGTGAATCACTCGCGAAATTTTTTGTCTCGATTGGCGTTATCATGTGAAATTGGACATGTTATTATCAATGTAAGAATCAGAATCGGTAACATTTATCCGCTAATGGCGGGCTAATTGTTTGTCCTCTCCTGTCTAACAGTGGCAGGCAACTTGTTTCTGCGATTTTCAAATAGATCTGAGTGTTCGTAGGTCTTAAAGCAAATGCTAATTTTCTTGTTAAGAAATCAGGAGCGGCGATTTGACAGGTGATGGATCATCTCAGGTAGCAAAACTCATCAAATTGGCCCCATTATCATAGTCATCATGCACTGGCAAGATAGCAGCAATCACTCTCCTCTGACTCACTTTTTCCCCTTGTGCGCGCAACTCAAATTTAGCAACAGTGCAGAACCAGAAAAGATCCAAACTCAAAATTTAATCGCTTTTAGTAGTTATAACTTTAGTGGTTAGCATGGCTATTTGCACCAACTGCTGGCTATGTAGGCCACCTCCTGTTCCCCAGCTCTTCAGCTCAACATCCCTTATCTCCAAAAAGAAAATTTTGCTAAGTGGGCAAACCCCCCTGCCTCTCTCTCTCTCTCTCTCTGTTGCATCCATGTCCCATGAATACAGAACAAGGAAGGATAACTGATTGTTCTTCAATCCAATAATATCTAGGAGAAAGAGTCCAACAGAGTTCCAAGCCTATCTTATACTATAGAAACCAAGGAGGGGGAAAACAATATAATTGGAACATAAAACATCCTTTAATTATGATCCATAAACCCAGTAATTTACATTTACCAAAATTTGCTTAATTACCATAACAGAAGAAGAAGAAAAAGGTTTAATCAATTAAAAAACCCTAGCTAAATTTAACAAGTGGAAAACATGAACTACTTGACTAGTAAGTAAAATACTACTACTAACTTTAAAATTGATTAATCCAACATACAAGGCTTCATGATTTTGATCAGCCATATAACAGTACCTTCCCACCGTACCACAACCGGTGGTTTAACTCCTCTTCCACTCATCTCCATCGGAATCCTCTGGGTCAGGCACCTTATTCAAGTCAACCGGCCGTGACTTCAACTCTCTACTATCAACGACCGTTTCATTATTATCATTACTACAGCTACTATTATTACTGTTTCTTTGACGGTCATCATGATGGAGGTGGTGGTGGTGGTGGTGGTTTAACGCTGTCTCAATAGCGTCAACATGAGCTCCAACCTCAGTTGCTCTTTTCCTTATAGAAGCAGCTGACATGTCCCCGCATGATCCACCGCCGCCGAAACCCTCTGCAGCCAAAAATTCAGGAAAATTGAGCCTCGCCGATGGCCCTCTCAAATAAAAAACGGCGGTGTCATAAGCACGAGCCGCCGCTACTGGTGTTGAGTAGGAACCAAGCCAAATCCTTGACCTTTTGTTGGGCTCTCTTATCTCAGCCACCCATTTTCCCCACTTCCTCATCCTTATCCCCTTGAATTGCCTCTCACTTTCTATCCCTCCTCTCTTTCTTGTTGCCATATCCTTGTCTACTCCACTTTCCATCTCAAAACAATAAAACGATAAAATAAACTTATTCAAGGTTCGAATACTTGAACAATTTTCATGGAAGAAATAAAGCGTTGGGATTGGGATGAGAGCAGAGAGGCAACGTTTTGGGGGGTTTCTTGGAGAAGAACAAGGGGTATCATTTGGGGAAGGATACACGTTGATAATAATTCTTTGAAAGGATTTTTCTTTTCTTTTTCTTTTTTTTCTTTTCTTTTGGCTAACTGGGTGATCGGGAGAAAGAGAGAAAATCCAAATTCACCGACACAATCTTTGTGAATTTGTTTAAAAGGAAAGGGGTGCGAACTGATTACCTTATATGGTGTGGAGGGCACAAAAGGAAAATACAAATATATATATATTATCGTAGAGGTTGATGTTTCTTGATGTTTCCTCTTTCCTTCTAGGTTATGTTTGGGCTGAGCTCGGCAATAATTGACTTGCACAAAAAGACAAAGAAAGAAGAGGGGGTGGAAGAGAAAAATACAGCATAGGCATGGAATCCAATTATTATGGCTAAATTATAAGAAGTCCTCAATTTTAGCTAAAAAACAAACTTTTATCTAAATTTAACAAAATATTTAAATTTTCATCCTTAATAATATAATGGTTTAAATTTACTTTTAAATAATAGAAAGTAATAAAAATATTTATAAAATTTTTTATGATGCCCATTATTTATATTCCTTGCTATATTGTTCATATAATAGAATTCAAGAAAAGATCCACTTAAAATTCTTATGACTATAAAGCTTATTCATGTATCTAGGATCCAAGAATAAATTATATTCCTTTAGATTTAAGTTTATCAGATGGCTAGTTTATCTATTGATCTGAAAAGGATTGTTTAAATCCTTAAATGTAATTATTACCTAACAAGTCTAAATGTTCATTTTTAAATTGAGATATAAAGTATACACATAACTTAACAAGTTAATATCTTCAGGTAAAAGGTTGGCTAGGGGATCTATGATCCCCTGTAAGCTTAAAACTAAACTAGTTAGACATATCATGAAGTTAATTGTTCAATCTAAGTGTGTTCCATTTAGATCAAATCTAGTCTATTCATAATCAACTACAAAAATAAAATGTACATAAACTACATTAAAGCATGTTTACTATCCATGTGTTCTCTAAAGATTGATCCTATTATCATTAATATTAGAGTCAAATATGGATGAGAAGGCCCAAAAGACTGCATATCCATACAATTGACTATATAAACATGTTTTTTTTTTATTTTATGTTTTTTATGTTCTAGTTTGTATCAAATATATATAGTTTATACTAAGGTTAACATATATGTATACCTTAACATATCATAAATATATAAAACTTAACAATAAAAACTCATGACATTAATAAAGTATATTATGTCAAATTCTCTTTTATTTTTTCTTTCTTTTCTTCTTTTTCTTTTGTTTTATTTGGTATTAAAGCCTTATTTAATAACATCTGTGACTTCCTTAAATAATCATTATTACACTTTTATCAATCAAGAACAACATCCTACATCTCCTTTATTAATTGACTGATAAATTGCAATAATGTTCTATTGTTATCATTTTAAAATGCTTATTATTATATCTCTCTAAAATAAATGAATGAAAACTATTTATTCAAGGTTCAAATCAAGTCATTTATCATTAAACAAGATTTGTATGGCTTTATTGATCGATGAAAA